GGGAGGGAGGGGGGCATATTTAACTTGGGACTGCGCTCTCCTCGCGCTGCAGACACACACTCTCACACACACAGTGTGCCCATAAGCAAAGAGACGCTCCTCCAGCGCCAAAACTCTCTCAGACTCCTGAAGTAGGAGCGACTCAGCTGCAGCTTCTGTTTTCAGAAACAGGCGCCCCTCAGGAACAGCTCGGGCTCAAGAGGCTCCACATGATTTTGGACTGTCTCATCATCATCATGCAGCGATTCTGCAACTTGGGGCTTTTCTGACAGGATTCTGCTGTATGTTCTTTTTTTAAGTTTTTGTTCTTTTTTGGCAGTTTGTAGTTGAAATGCACCGGCTCTGCCAACCTTTGTGAAGCTTTTATTTTATTTTTTTATCTTTAACCAAGGGAGCTGTGTGGAAACTTGAGACTTTAATTTAAACTGATCCACAAGTTGGATCTCCCTGTGGAAAGAGACATGGCTCTTATTTCATGAGCTGATTCTGCACCCATGGACCTTTTCAAGACACTGTTGGGGTAAAGAGGTGAGACTTTTCCCCTTCAGCTTATGGACTGCGCGCAGTGGGACTTTGTCAAGCCGTGCGTAAAAAAGCCGTGCGTAAAAATAACACTGGCCACGGCGGCTCTCTGTCTCCCGTCGCCGGACGCGTGACATTTAAAACCCGACGAAGTCCTCCGGATCTGTCCCGTCTGCTTCCTTCCATGCTGCTCTCTCCTGTCATCCAGTGCAGACGCTTCGTCGTGGCTTCGAGTCTCCGGGGTAACCATGACAACCCAAAGAAACCCAAAGTGAATCCGATGAGCGGGGTGAGGCAGCAGAGTGCCTGAATAGGCTGGAGTTTTCCCCATTCTTGGCGTTTTCTTTTCCTTTTTTTTTTCTTTTTAAGGGTTGTTTTTGTTCAGATCTGACGCTTCTTTCAAAGCTGCAGAGTTGCATCCTTCATTACAAAAGCTGAAGGAGTTGAAGTGTCACCCAAACCCACAGAGGTCTATTAAAAGTCTCGCCTTGCTTGTGGCTGAACTTCTACTCTTTATGAAGCCTTGCAGACGTCGCAGTAACCCTGAAAAGAACTGAAGTGATTTCCTTCCCCCCCAACCCCCCAAACAACTCGAGAACAGAACCAGAGGAGTAATGGGTCTGTCCCAAACGCTGCTCGTTTACGCGCTGGTGTGCGTCCACCTCGGAGTGTCCCAGCACTTCCTGCGCCTCCGCCCGTCGCCCAGCGACCACCTCCCCGTCCCTGAGCTGAAGGAGGACCCCGACCCGGAGTATGACCCCCGGGAGCAGGACTTGGCCGAGAGGACTCTGAGGAAAAAGCTCGGCAGCAACTTTGACCCCAACTTCATGTCCATCAGCCTGCCGGCGGTGAACATCTCCGCGCCAGAAGCCCTGGGGAAGCCGGGGGCCATGCCTAACGAGATTAAAAAACTGGACCTCAACGAGACCCCCTACGGGAAGCGGGTAAAAGTGGGCAAGAAGGCCCGCAGGAAATTCCTGCAGCTGCTGTGGACCTACACGTTCTGCCCTGTGGTGTACACCTGGAAGGACCTGGGCGTGAGGTTCTGGCCGCGCTACATCAAGGAGGGCAACTGTTTCTCCGAGCGCTCGTGCTCCTTCCCGGAGGGGATGTCCTGCAAGCCCGTCAAGTCGGTCACCAAGATCTTCCTGCGGTGGTACTGCCAGGGCTTTCTAAGACAGAAATACTGTACGTGGATACAGGTGCAATACCCGGTCATCTCAGAGTGCAAGTGCTCGTGCTGAAGGAGGTGCGGAGGTGTGCCGGAGGAGGGGGGGAGGGGGGATTTCTATTGCACTGTTAACTCTCTACAGAGGTGGGCACCATACAGATCTATTTTTTTATATTCTATAACATTTTACAGTGAAAATACCAACATTGTACATATTTAAAGGACGAATAATGCAGCTATTTTTTTTCTTCTAAATGAACTTGGACCATATTTTATCTTCAACCCTGAACATTGTTTGTTTTCTTTTTTTGTTCTGTTTTGTTTCTTGGGGCAGGGGTGCTAGGAGAGCACTTCACCAGGAAGAGCATATATAT